GCACGGGCAGGCGCTGCCGTCTCAGGACAGCCGCCGCGGAAGCCGGCCCCGCGGTCCAAGGAGTACATCGGCGGGCTGGAGGAGCAGCTGCGGGCGCTCGCGAAGCAGATGGCCAGCCTCGCGCAGCGTCCTTCGTCGACGGCTACTGGTGGCCCAGCGGCAGGGGGCGGCGGCAACATCAGGAAGGAACGCGATGATGGCGACAAGAGCGCGCTCCACCAAAAGACGGCGCTGCAGGAGAAGATCAACTACCATGAGAATGCCATCAAGGAGCGCAGCAAAGTGGAGGAGGGCGGCGGGTCGCTCCATCTTCTCCACCTGAAAACCATGGAGGAGCTACGCGGTACCGCACGTGCGCTGCGGCCCACAGAAGCTGCGCGCAAGGCGACGACGCAGAAACTGGCGAAGTGCAGACAGCAGCTCGACAGGTACGCAGCCGACCTCGGGGCCTCTAGGAGCAGCTCGCAGCATCAGCCTGAAGATCGCCGAAAAGCAGTGGGCGATCACGGCCAAGAGGGCGGAAGTGGAGATGTTCAAAGTCGAGGCGGTTCGGCAGGAGAGCGCGATGCTGGTGGCTCGCGGTGAGATGCCGACGGCGAAAGCGAAGCTGGCCAGCCCTACGGCGAGGGGCCTCGTCGCCTTCGACATCGACGAGGACGAGCTGCCGGTGCCATCACCTGAAGCTCAGGAGGCGCTGGCGGCTTTCAAGGCCAGTCCCCACTTCGCCAGGCTCCAGCAGGGCTTATGCAAGAAGGTCGATGGGCATCTGGCTTCGGTGGTCGCTTCAGTTCTTGTACCTGATCGCGATGATGACGATGATGATGCCGGCAAAGGAGGTGCGACCCCACCTGGCGGCCCGCGCAGCGGCGGCGATGTCGACATGGAGCAGGGCGCGCCCCCTAGCCGAGCTGACAAGCGAGACGCCAAGGCGGTCCAGCTGGTTGAGTTCGCCAAGGAGGACGTCGAAGCCCTCTGGACCATCCTCAGCCAGCAAGCGCAGCCAGCCTCGGAGTGGACCAAGGAGCAGCCCCAGACCGCCATCGAGAGCGCCCAGAACACCAAGCAACGACGAACGGATGGAGGATCTGTTCGTACTGGGGGATCGGGTGGGCGACGCGATGCCGCGCGTCAGCGGGATCTGCCTTGGGCCCAAGTCCCGTGTGCAGGAGGTCCCCACCAGGCTCGCGGCGACGCGCATTTTTGAAACATTCAATGCTAACCAAAGTAGAAAGACTCTGCAGCGCAGGCTCCGCGCCATGACTGCCGCGGTCATTCTGGCGAAGGAGATCGGCTATGACGCTGGCGACAGCGAGGCCCTCAGCAGTTGGGCGGCAGCAAATCGCTGGCAATGCCTCGTGGTTCCAGGGCAAGCAGCGAGAGGACATCTTCCCTCAGCAAGGCTTGGAATATTCGCAAGGGAAGGAGTCGGACTTCGAGGGCGGGCTTACCCAGCTGATGCCCCTCTGAGGCGTCCTGGCGACATCAACTCCGAGGTGGCCCACGGCTCGGAGTTGGTCGCGGGCAGGGCGCAACGCGCCGTGGTGGAATTGCCCAACTGGCCGCCCATCAACGTCTACAACCTCCACCTCCATGCGGCAGAGGGGGGGGGGGGGGGGGGGCGCCCGCAACGCGAAGATCCTCATGGCGATTGGGCTGGCGATGGCAGGCCAGATTCACCCGTGCATCGTGGGGGGCGACTGGAACATGGAGGCTCAGGTGGTTCGTGATTCTACCTTCCCTGTGCATGTGCAGCTTGAACTTGCTGCCCCATGGCGCACGGCCTGCAGGGCGGCGTCTTCCTTGCCCACGCTGGACTACTTCGGGCTCTCGACGGAGGCTACGCGCACGTTGGCGTCGTGCAGTGCGGATCTCAGCTGGGTCGCCAAACCTCATCGGCCAGTCCAACTGCGGCTTGCGGCAGAAGGCTCCGAGGTCAGGCATCTGTCCTACGTGAGAGGACCGCGGCTCACCTCCCAAGTCATCAACGGCCCGCTCTCAGGAGGACAGCTGGTCGATCGAGCGGAGCTTCGCGACGGGGGCCTTGAGGGTGGCCAAGGAGGAGCAGGCTACGGTGGCACGGCGCTTTCTCTCCAAAGCTTGGGGCCGGTGGGCGGCTCGCGCTGCGGAACGGATCGGGCGCCTCACCAGCGCGGAAGTACGCGCTCACTCATATGCGCGCGCCCTCCAGCCGCAGTGGGTTGAGAAGGAGCACGAGAGCGTCTCGGAGACGGAGCTGGAGGCTATCGCTGACGGATGGAAGTGGCTACAAGACAGTTTGCAAGGGCTGGTGGCTGCGCATGGAGGCGGTCGCAATGCAGCTCGGCGCCAAGGTGTCCCGGATGAGGTGCAGGGCTTCCTCGGCGCGGACTACATCGGCCAGGGCCTGAACGCGAGGCTGGACGCCTCCGTTCAGCAGGCAAGGAGGCTTCTCCAGCACTCCTGCGGCAAGGACGACCTCAGCAGCCTCCTTGAGGATTTTGACGAGGACATCAAGTTCGGGATGAAGCAGGCCGATAAGGATTCCAACAGACGCTGGAAGGGGTGGTGCGACGGTGCGCGCGCGGAGGGGCTGGCCAGTTCCATCGTCTCACCAAGGTCCGCGGACTTCAGGCGCCCGCGACGGTCAAGGACGCAGAGCGCGGCATCACTGGCCACCTGCACTACGTCGTCAAGGCCCTGGAGGACAAGCACGCAAAGTTATGGGGGGCTACGACGGAAGCCCCAAGGGCCTGGATCCCCGACCGCTCCACCTTGCAGCGACCGGCTCCATCCGAGCTCCGTCGCGCTGCAGGCGCGTTCAGCGTCGAGACCTCCAGCAGCCTCGATGGGTTCCACCCGGCCCACCTCCAGCACCTCAGTGCTGACGCGCTCGATGGGGCTGTGCGACGTCGTGCTCGCGCGTAAGGCACCCGGGCTCCTCCCTGCGCAACGCGCGTGGATGGCGATGCCGATGTTCCCCAGCGCAGCCGGCGGACACTGGCTGATCATACTGCACCCGATGGCGCACCGAGTGTTGCAGCGCATGTGGAAGCCTGCCCTACTTCAAGTACAGCAGTCCCTATGGCGACCGTGCTGGGGCGCTGCGAAGAACAGGGGCGCGATGGGCAGCGCGTGGATCCTGGCCGCGGACGCGGGGCAGAATGCGACAGGAGGACGCCGCGCCATCACCATCATCGCCGACTACAGCAAGTACTATGAGACGATATCCCTGGATGAGGACCGCGACAAGCCCCAGCGCCTGGGGGCGCCGATGCCGATCACCAATGTCATTTACAACCAGTGGCGAGGACCCCGCATCATTCGTCTTCGTCAGCATCATGGACCCCGACCTCGACGCGCGCGAGATGGGCTACCAGCAGGTGACGGCTACGCAGACGTGGTCATCAAGGCGCACGTTTTGGAGCAGTGTGACCTCTACGTGACGCTCCATCCCCTGGTCCGTTTCTCGTCCTACATCGATGAGGGAGTGCCACTATGAGGGAGTGCCTTCTCGTCCTCCATCCCCTGGTCCGTTTCCTCTCGGCCTCAACAGCGCCACTATGGAGGGAGTGATAGGGGGCGCGGTCCAGGCGGGCCCGGATTTCTTCACTACAGCGCGACAGCTAGGTGCTCGCCTCAATGAGAAGCTCGCGGTGGTCGCCAGCTCTGCAGAAATAGGCGCGACTGTCGCGCAGCGACTGGGCCTCCAAACAGAATTGCACCAGCGGGGGGCCACCTACTTAGACGCCGACTTCTCGGGGGCCAGACGACGGGCAGCCAAGCGCACCAGGGCCAAGCATTGGGGCAGATTACATATTTACCGACTTCGATTGCGCAGGCTCGGGCGCTAATTACGACGCCCACCAGGGCGATTGACGGCGCGGGCGGGCAATATCTACCGTGCAAGAGCACGGCCAGCAGCTACCTACGGCGTGGAAGTCAAGGGTCTTCCAGATACGAGACTGCACAGGCTACGCACCGACTTTGGGCGGTTTTGCAAGCGTTGCCATGGCGGCGTTTCAGCTGCCATGAAGATTGCGCTCCTGGAGGATCCAACGGTAGCTACTGCCATGGCACCTGCGCTACAACGGTCGCGGGTGATCTGGCTCGCGACATCACAGCCACAGCGTGCCCCAGTCCCCCTGGCCCTTCTTACTACTAGGTGGCGACGAACAGTCGACGAAACAGGCTCATGTAGCACTTGAGAGCACCCCTGTCCATTGCAAGAGCGGGCTGGACCCCAGTTTCAGGCATCCTGTGGCGTAACCACCGCGGCGACGATGTTCACGTGGATCAAATTTCCGCCTGGGCTGCTTCTCCGAATGTCGCAGGAAGGCGCGCGGTGTCAGCGCGAGAAGGCCCTGGCCATCAAGATGGGCCTCGGCGAAGGCATGCGGGTGACCTTTGACATCCTCAAGCCTATCAGTTCCTCCAAGAGCAGGCGGTGCACGGCCCCCCAGAAGTTCTGCATCATGAATGTGGCGCGCAACGGAGTACGAGCGCAGCTTCGCGCGCGTCCGGCGGGGTGCCGCGCCGAGGGTCTCTGCCGACGCGGAGCACAGGACACCCTACTTCACCGCCTACGCGAACGCACTCGAGCTGATGGTCTGCAGGCCAGAGGAGACGCTGAGATCCCTGCTCATCTACTGGGCCAACTTCGGGGGCATGGAAATGATCCTGGGCTCATACAAGGGGCATTCGCCTATCAGCCCTCCTCGGCCCCACCTCTGGATCCAAGGCTGAGTTGCGTCATCCAAGACAGCCAAGGTCTAGACAGCTGCGCCGCGCCAGCGTCAATGGTGCGGAGCTGCCCTCGCGATGGCGATCACAACATGGAGGTTGCGATTGACGGCTCCTGCACCAAGCCGCCTAGACGGGAACTCCAGCTTGCAAGATGGAGCATTACTGTCCTCGACCCGCGTTCAAGCACCCCGCTCTGCTCTATCCATGCGCCTATTCCAGCATCCCCGCCGCAGTCCTCGGCCATGGGAGAGCACCTCGGCGAGGCATCCGCGCCCCAGATCGCCGACCGCCCCTGCCATGCCCGCGGTCATCAAGCTGGGCAACGGGGGAAAGGAGCAGCAGCTCGCCAGCAAGACGCCCTACGCGTGCGGAGCCGGATTCGCGCAGTCGCTCGAAGGTTTCCAGCGTATCCACAGATCGGGCACTGGCTACGAGGCGATGGACTGCGATCAGCGTCGACTCACTGATGCCAACACAGTCGCCAGTGCAAGGGCAAAGACGGCGACGCCCATGCACCCGAGGCCTGATGACGACATGATCGACGCCATGGGGACGGCCACCAGCAGGATGGGCAAAGTTGCACGGCATGTGGCGAACGCGATTCCGATCTTCGATAAGAACGACCAGCTGAAATATACGAAGCGAACCCCGGGACATCGGCGCGCGGCTAGCACGCGCAAGGCTACCTGGCATCAATGGCACGGTGGCGAGCTCGGGGCACAGTGCCGTGCTTGCCTACAACTACATGTGCCAGGAGCCCCACTCCCACTGACGGGGCGCGGGGGCACCCCGAGCTTCCCCAAGGAGTTCCAGCTTAACCAGTTAGGTCACAGGCTAGTGGCGGTCAACCAGTGCGGGGCACTGCTTGGAGACAGCATCGAGTGGCAAGACTGTCTTCATCTGCGCAAAGTGTGGAGCCTGACTTCCCTGCGTGGCGGCCACAACCAAGGGCCTGAGGTCTAGATCTCAAGAAGGGAGTAGGACCGCACAAAACATTGCAGAAGTTCATTGGCTCCACCTCCCCGCTCAAGAGAGTCAGAACCGACGCGGTCACCAGCTGCACCTACACGAAGGCCGACAGTCCCAAGGACGGCGACATGGTGCAGGAGGACCACCACGCACTCGAGGACAGGATGGCGGCCTTGCACCAGCGGGTACGTGAGCGAGGGTCAACTGCGTGCTGCACGTGGAAAAGGCAACACCATGTTCGGACATGCGCTGCGACGAGGAGATCTACCTGAACTGCACAGGGCACCTGCAGGATCAGTACGCAAGCACGCTCGCGAAGGTGGTGGTGCCCTCCAGCGAGAGGTACTGGAGGAGACGAGCGCCCACCACGCTCTGCGGCACAGCCGTGAGAGCCGACCTGACGTGCAGCCCATGGGCAGCCAGCGCGATGACAACGGGGTCCAGCGGAACCCCTCTGGGCGGCTACTCCCTCGACAGGACACCTCCCAGCCAAGGACGGTGATGGTGCCCTCCAGCGAGGGGCGCTGGAGGAGACGAGCGCCCACCACGCTCCGCGGCACAGACGTGAGAGCCCACCAGAGGTGCAGCCCGTGGGCAGCCAGCGAAATGACAACGGGGAACAGCGGGATTTCCTTGGCGACTACTCCCTCGACAGGGCACCTCCCTGCCAAGGACGGAAGCCGGCTGATGAACGTGGGCTGGCGGATGCTGCCCTTAATGATGCCCCTTCCCCAAGGGGTGCGCCTTCTGAGGCTACGGATCCCGTTCCCACTGGCTCTGGGCGTCAACGCGACCACCTACCTGGACAAGGCGCGCATCTGGCCGAGGGGGCTGGAAGGCGCGGGGGAACGCAGGAGCTTCAGCCTCCGCCCCCCCCACCGCTGGCGCAAGAGGCAATGCCGCAGCCTCTGCGCGGGCGGGAAGCCAGCCAACGACCAGGATAAGCATTTCGAGCAGTGCCAGAGAAGGATCTCGCTGAGAGTCCTGGTGGAGCTCTGCGACTCGTTGGCGGAGAGGGAGTTCCAGTTGGCTTGATGCGAAGGCCCTGCGGCTTCAGGCCTTCCTCCAACGTGAGGAGAGGTTCGCGGATAATCAAAACCAGCGACGTGGAGGATGCTGGGTACCTGGGAGCCCCAAGAGGGGATCGAAGACGCGGAGATGATGGAGCAGGCGTCCGCACGCCAGAGCGGGCCCCGAGTTCGGGCGGAGCCAGGCAGCTCGCGGCCCGAGCGGCAGGGCGAGGGGCGCTGTGACGAAGATGGAGCTGGCGCACTGCCGAACACTCAGGAGGGGCTCGGGGAGGCACGCCAAAACGGGCCCCGAGTTCGGGCGGAGCCAGGGTGCTCGCGGCCCGAGCGGCAGGGCCAGGAACACAGTGGTGTCGGCGCGGCACCCACGTGCTCAGGAGGGGCCTCCTGCAGCAGGCCCATGGGGGCGGGGGGCACAAGTGGTGCTTCCTGGCGAAAAAAACAGGAAGAGCCACCCCGCCGCCCACCAGCGGCTACGCAGGAGGCGGGAGGCCCCAGACGCCCACATGGGCATTCGTTCGAGGTGAACTCCAGGGGGATGGAGTTCAAGAGGCTCGTCGCCATGGCGACGGGGAGCTCGAGGGCGAGGCGCTCAACGTCGTGAGGCCCCTCGGCGAGGTCGCGCCCCTCATCTGATGAGGGGGCTGGGCGGGCGCCCGACCCTCGACTTCCGAGGCCCGCGATATCGGTATCCTCCTCCTCCTCCTCCTCCTCCTCCTCCTCCTCCTCCTCCTCTTTCTCTTCCTCCTCCTCCTCCTCCTCCAGCTCCTCCAGCTCCTCCAGCTCCTCCTCCTCCTCCTTCTCCTCCTCCTCCTCCTCCTCCTCTTCCTCCTCCTCTTGCGCAGAGCCCCGGCGGGGCTCCTGGCACGCCAGGCACGCAGCGGTGGCGTCGTCGCAGCAACCTGGTGTGCGTGGGGAGGAGCGCGCGGAGGGGGCCGCAGCGCGGAAAGCCGAGTGGAGGAGGCCCTGGGCCGTACAGCCGACGGCGCGGCCAGCGGCGGGTTGGAAGCTGCTTGTGCTTCGACTCGGACAAAGTCGCTTGCATGGAAGGGCGCAGGAGGGGGGGGGGGAGAATGGCAAGGCACGAAAGGAAATCCGACCTTCACGCCAAGCGGACTCGCTCGAACGCCTTCCCGTCCCGGCGCTACTCGAACGGGCGGCAGATGGGAGGGAATCCCAGGTCGGAGCAGATGGGGGGTCGGAGAATCGCACCGCACTGCAGACGTGAGGAGAACAGCTATCGTGTTGGGAGGAAGGGCTTGGCAAGATGATAGGCATGAGCAACAGCATGTGGACATGCACGATTCCTTCGGCCGCCTACGGGACACGAGATCGTCACTTATCCCAAACCCCAGTCCTCCCAACCCGATAACTGTCTTCCCGAAGACGAGGTCGGAGCAGGTGGGGGGCCGCGGCGGCCGCAGGACCAGAGGCGGAGCTGAGCGGGCCCCCCAAGGAAGGCGGCTCGCTGCGGCCCCCTTGCACCGCGGGGTGCGCCTAAGCGCCGTTGTTGCCTCGGGGCGCCCGTGCCCGCGGCCTGCCCTGGTGGATCTTTGTTGCTCGGTCTCGGTCTATTGCTGTTGGCCTCGGCTTCTGTTGTTACCTCGGGGTTTCTTGGCCTCGGTACCTGTTCCAACGGGGGATGCTGTCGGCCCGAGGTATAAGATCGAAGTTGGTTCGGGATGGGTGCTGTATTGTTCTTCGTGTTTGTTGGATGTTCTTGTGCATCCCGGGGAGGGTACCCTTGGCTGTTCTGCGTGTTTGGGCCGGCGGAGGGTCTCATGTTCTTGAAAACTGCATGCTCTTTCCTGAGTCCGACTGTATGGCTTCCCAAATCCCCGACTTCTGAGGCTTCCGACAACTCGGGGGCAGAGGGGGGAATCGCCTGCGATTTTGGGCTGCGGTGGATTATTGATTGGCATTGGTGTGTTGTGAGACGTGCACCTTCTCAAAGGCTTCCCATTCATGTTCCTCGGCTCCGGCCACCGCTGGCTGCGTCGCAGCCTTTCAGCCTCGGCACACCCGCGACAGACTGCACGTTCTGAGCGGCTGCTGCAAACAGTCGCATTCAGAGCTCCGGAGCCAGACCCTCCCCCCTCCCCCCCCTTCCGCCCAATGTAGAAACGCCGAATAAGAAAACGTTCATCAGACAATTCTGTCCGTGCCGTAGCGCCGGCTCGAGAGAGCTTTGCAAGCGAGTCCAGAGTCAGGTTCGCGGACCCCTGGCCAGGCCGACCGCCTCTTTCTGTCACACTGCGCAGACGGAAACACACGCGCAGCAGCACAGCACCAATGGCCATTGATATTCAACGTATCGGATTCAGCAGATCGTCCCTCTTTCTTGACTTGGGCCAAACTGCCGACGGGAACAAATCAACAAACGCCCCTGCTCGTTCTAGAACTGGCGTAAGCCCGTGCGAAGACATCGGCAGAGTTCCAATATTGCTTCCGCTGGCTTGACCTGGACCTGAAGACATCGGCTTGCACATGTGAATGGATTCCTTCTCACATGTCTCAAGATATTGCACCCATCACTGGCATGACCAGCAGAACGTTCGGAGACAACTCCTGGGATCTTGCGAATCGGCGCTGCCCGACGCTAGCCAACGCTGATCGATGCTAGTCGACGCTAAATCCACGCTGACCGACGAGAAATCTGCGCTGGCCCATCGATTACCGATCGCTAGCGCCGGCTAAAGGCATCCTAAACACGGAATTACGAAGACAAACGAGGCTCCCACAATTTGCCACCGAAGGAACGTATGTCGATAGCCCTGTGGTGGGGCTGCCCATACGGCGGCAGCTCCCAGAGCCTGAAGCTACTCTACTGGGCGCGAAAGGCCACGTCACAATTTGGATCACGTGTCTTCTGGGTGCCACCCCGTCATCTGTGTCCCCTCCATACAGTCGGGAACTGTTGGATGGCGTGTCGCGCCGTACTCAAATCCTCCATTGCCCCGTCCTCATCTCCATCCCTTCCCGCTTCCCAAACCGATGTTCCACTCTTCTCTCAAAACTCGAGCCTCTCCACCATGCCTATTGCCTGCCTGCCGTTCCGTTCCTCCCTCCCCTCCACCTCATCTCTCTAATCCCTCCCCTGCCTCACTCTAACATCTCTCCTACTGTGCATTCCCTCCCTCGCTCCCCGCTCACACGCCCCTCATGCGCATACACCTTTCCCCCCAGTCGCCCATCGCCCAACCACCGCAAGGACGGCAGAGGAAGAGGAATTGGATGGAGGGCGAGCGAAGAGGAGGTCGAACGACGCAACAAACATGTGTTATCCGTGTGTAATCTCGAGGGTAATCAACCACCTGCGAAGCCTGTTTTTAGTGAAGGCGCAGCACCAGAAACAAAAAAACAAACAAACAAACGACAGAAGCGAGAAACCCTGTGTGTGGGGTGACACTCCCACGCTCCAGACTAAAAGTTGTAGCACACACACACACACACCAGTGCACGAAGGAGATAAACTGACACAGAAGAGGCACCGCAAGCGCGCTTGAGCTCCAAAGGGGTAGCAATCAGAACGAGAGGCCCGACAACAACAACTCGGACATGGTGGGCCAGATTACTGGGCCGCGGGCGGCGCGCACGGCGCAAAGCCTTGTCCTGAAGAGCTAGCCGATGTCTGGTCACGAAATTCGGGTGTCAGTGTCAGCGAGCATGTCTGCCAGCATCTGGTCAGGCATCTCATTATCTGGCCAGAGCAGCAGTGTCGTCGAGCTTGGCGTAGCCAGCGGGCTTTGCCACAGCGCTTATCTTCTGGGTGGCGGGGAGATGCTACCACTGCTGGGGTCTCTCGATTCACGACCACGTCAGAACTGCTGCCCTCCAGAGGAAGGACGACCCGGTCCTTGCTCAAGACACCGGCGCCCGAAGCTGCAGAGCCGCACAGACGAGGAGGATGACGAGGAGAGGGCGGCTGGGCCACGGCTCGAGGATCGAACAGCTCCAGCCGCTCTGGGCACGGAACACCTCTCGTTCTCACGGGATGCGTAACGCTTCGCAGCATGCCGGTCGCGGAACTCAAGCACGTTCCTCACCAAGATGGGAACCCTCACCAGGAATTGCTCATACCTATACGACCACCCTTCGGGTGATAAGGAGGTTCGGGGGAGGGGAGGCACCAACGTCTCACTCGATCGGTCTCACTATCGATCTCCCTATCGATCTCACTATCGGTCTCGCTCGATCGATCTCACTCGATCGATCTTACAATCGATCTCACTCGATATATCTCATTCGATCGATCTCACAATTGACTGACTATCGATCTCACAATCGATCTCACAACCGATCTCGCAATCGATCTCACATTCGGTCTCACCATCGATATCACTATCGATCTCACAATCGAACTCACAATCAACGACACCATCGTCATCCTCATCACCATCATCATCATCATCATCAACAGCATCATCATCATCGGGACACCGTTATCATCATCATCAACATCATCATCATCATCAACGTCATCATCATCATCACCAACATCATCATCATCGGGACACCATCATCACCATCACCATCATCATCCCATCATCATCATCACCATCATCATCATTATCAACATCTTCAGCATGGGGACACAGTCGTCGTCATCATCATCAGCATCATCATCATCACCATCATCATCTAAATCATCGGGACACCATCATGATCACCATCGTTATCCTCATCCACATCATATTCATCATCATCTTCATCGGGACACCATCATCACCGTCATCATCTCATCACCATCATCATCGACATCATCATCATCATCATCATCAACATCATCATCATCATCCTCATCGGGGCACCATCCTCATCACCATCATTTCATCATTATCATTATCGGGACACCATCATCATCACAATCATCATCATAAGCATCACCATCATAATAATCATCATCATCATCATCGGGACACCATCAACATCATCAACATCATAATCATCATCAACATCATCATCATCACCACCGTCATCTGGACACAATCATCATCACCATCATCATCGGGACACCATCATCGTCATCAGCATCATCAACATAATCATCATGATCATCATCGTCCTCATCATCGGGACACCATCATCATCATCATCCTCATCGACATCATCATCCACATCATCATCATCATCATCTTGATCGGAACACCATCATCATCATCATCTCATCATCATCATAATCATAATCATAATCATCATCATCAACAACATCAACATCATCATCATCATCACCAACATCAACATCATCTTCATCACCATCATCACCTTCATCATCATCATCATCATCATCATCATCATCACCATCATCGGGACACCGACGGGACACCGACGGGACACCGACGGGACACCGGCGGGACACCGGCGGGACACCGCGGGCCACCGGCCGCCCGGAAGGGAGTCATTTGGTCCGGCCGCGCCTCAGCCAGACGGGACACCAGCGGGACACCGGCGGGACACCGCGGGCCACCGGCCGCCCGGAAGGGAATCATTTGGTCCGGCCGCGCCTCAGCCACAGGAGACTTTCTCTCGCCCGCCCACGCAGCTTCGCCTCGCCCGCACGACACGCACGAACACGAAACCGAAATCGATTTCCCGGTAGGGGGGCTCTCCGTTCCACTTCGATCTCACCCCCTCACCTCCGATTACTCCCGTGTCAAGCTCACGAACAGGTTCGGACGCAATCGAACGCGGCGGCAGATGGCTCGGCAATGTGAGGCACCGCCAGTTTGACCTCAGCAGCAGCCCACTCGACAATGTCAGGACAGCTTTCTTCTAAATTGGTTCAACCATTTGTGCACCTGTTCATGCACAAGGACTCGAACTCGTGTGCCCATCTCCCCACCGCAGTAGGGTTTAGCAGGGCAATGCGCAACGATGACATGATGCCCTTCTGGATCTGAGAAGGGTGATCTCGTGACGCTCTACTGGCACCTCTCGCCCTCGACACCAGTCATCGACTCCAAATGCCGCCGAAGACGAAAAGAAAACGAGCTAGCAGCTGTGGGCGACGCAGCAGACAAATGAGCATGACCCAGTCCCCTGGATAATCCCGATAGACTCACTCTGTGCCAACACATGCTGATCACGGGAAACTGGCTGCGGATCATACAGTACGTGAGCGGTCTCAAAGATGACTGGAATTTGTGCCAAAATGGATGCAGAGACAACTACAGCAGACGACGGGACAACTGAGGGGGCTGACGCGTTCATCACGCTCCCGCAAGGTACTGCGAGCACATACTGGTTCAGAAACAACTGTACCAAGGCACGCGTTGAGAATCCAATTGTGCAGGAGCTCAAAGAAAGATTGCTCCCATGGTTCAGTACAATGCTTGAGAGTGCCATCGATGCCGGTTTGCCTCACCTGCGCCGCATGGACAAGGACAGTGACCAGGAGCTGCACAAATAATACCAGAATCATGTTTACCACACCTGGCAGATAGGCAATAGGCATTGACAAAACCTGCCGACTAGGCAACTCCACACACGACTATGCGAACAGACAAACGAGGTAAAAACAGTGTGCGGCGCGGCACAATTAACACCAGCAAAACAAACCTGCCTTGAGCCGCAATGGCTAACGAAGGGGGGCGAGGATGATGACAATGATGATGATGATGATGATGATGATGATGAGGAGGAGGAGGAGGAGGAGGAGGAGGAAGAGGGAGAGAGAGAGAGAGCGAGAGAGGGAGAGAGCACGTAGAGGTGTCAGGAGCGCTTCTGCACCTCTGACCTTGCGCTGGGCTGTGGAAAATACAACGTCATCGTCAAGCGTCATCGTCAAGCGTCATACCACAGCATCATCGTCAACAGAAGGGAGAAGAAGAAGCGAAGAAGGAAGCGGAGGGCGAGGAAGGGAGCCGGCCGCGGCTGAGCGACACGCGAGGGGCGACGGGACCGCGACCACGACAGGCGAGGGCGACGAGGACGACTTCGGCGACGGGCCTGCGCGAAGACCCTCGCCCCCGTCCCAAGGCTGGGCCCCCGAATGCCCCCGCAGGAAACCCGAAAGCATCCGACAGCATCAGGACGGCGACGACGCCACCGCCGCCGCCGGCGTCGTCCTCCTCGGCGTCGGGTGAAGGCTCTCCCTTGGCGACGGGCATTACGCGACGCGTACTCCGATCTGCTCCCCAGCTGCCGCCGCCACAACTGCTGCGGTCGCATCTCGGACGAGCCGATGCATCTGGACGGCACATACGGTGCACTGTATGACACTGGCGACGAGGTGTATGCTGCTATTCGCAGTGCCATGACGTTGCCATCAAGCACTGCCTCGCCCAGAGGCGGCCGCGCTCGCTGCCAACGGCCAGGTGGGCGACGGGCCAGCGGCCGGGCGATTGCGGGGGTAGCGCAAGCCTCGAAGCCGCCGCGCCGCGCCGGAGCCCACCGCCGGCGAGGGGAGCCTCGCGTGTCCAGCGGGGAGGCGCTCGCCGCCGCCGTCGGCGTCGACGCGGCCGCCGCCTTCGCCTTCACCACCGCGGTCGCGTCCGCCATCGCCGTCGCAGCCACGCGCCGCCGTGGTCCGCGGTCGCTGCTGGCAGCCGTGGCGACCAAAGGACTCCTTGAGGCCAAGGACGGGCACAAGAGCGACTAGAAGCCTCGGCCCTGGATCCGCGACCTCCGCCAAGGTTCGATGACGACGACGGCCGGCCGACGGCGAAGCCCCGCCGCTGGAGGCTGGCATGGAAGAAACGGGTCCTGAGGACAACGGGTCCTGGAGCCTGGCGGTTTTCCCCAGGACAGGCTTGTTATCCTGAGCCTTGCCTCGAAGGCCCCCAGGCCCGCGAAGGGCCCAGAAAGCTTGAGAATGGTGACCAAGCCCAGGACGCTTCCCTCGGGACCCGCGTGACTCTTGGAGAGGATTGGCGGCGAGCGAGGGGGCGAAGTGAGAAGGAAAAGGCCTTCTCAGAAGGCTCGGAAGTCCCCTGGCCTTCTGCGAAGTTTTCTAAGCCTTCCCCGAAGACGTAGACAACTTCTCAGAAGGCGGCTTGGCTTCTGAGAAGTCCGACCGCCTTCTGAGAACGCCACCTCCTTCTCGTTTCCTCCTCGCTCGCCGCCGAGAGGAAGGCCCACGGCGCCTCGCGAGAGCCAGCCGCCGGAAGGACGCCGCCGCCCTGAGCGCAGCGGCCGCACGGGGCGGGCGCCGGACGCCGGGCGCAGCGGCAGCGGAGGCGGCCGCGGGCCGCGGCGGCAGCGCCCTGCAGCGGCAGGTGGCGAGCGGCACGCGCGCGCATCGGCGGCGGCCCGTCGGCGTCGGCGCCCGGGGTCCAGCAGCCGCAGCGGGACGGGCGGCGGGCACAACGGCAGCCGCAGCGGCAGCTGCACTGCGCGGCCGCGGACGGCAGCGGGCCGCGGCGGCAGGAGGGCTGGCGGCGGGGCTGGCGGGGCCGGCAGCGGCAGTGGAGCGGAAGCGGCGCCCTGCAACGTCCGGCCGGGGGCGGCGGCCGCCGGCCGCTCTGGCAGCTGCGGCGGGCGCACGCGCGCGAGCATCGGTAGCGGATCGCGACGAATGTGCGGCCTCGGCCCCTGAGGGCCGCGGGTGGTGCTTCGCAGATATTCGACGTCGTGATCCCTGTTTCGCGGCGCGGACCCGCAGAGGCCTGGGCCCTTTCCCCAGTCCTCATTTTTCATCCCGGCGTCGTCGTTGACGGTCCCAGGGCCTGGTGAGGGCGCCTGGAAGCCGAAAGCGTCCAACAACCTCCCGTCGTGGTAACCCGTCGGTCGGCAGAAGTGGGTAGAAACATGGAGTGGGAAGGCGTTGAAAATAGATTGGGATTCTGCCCGCTCCCTGAACTGACAGGAACAGGTGAATCCACTCGATCATTGAAGTAGGAAGGCGCCTAAATTATAATAGGATGTGGAAATCCAAGACACCTACTTTCTTTCAGGAACCGACGGGTAATTTGAGGGAGTTTCTGTGGAACTACCGTCATCCTCACCCCCGGCGCGGGGAGCACAGGGGCCCAGAGCGGCCTCCGGCACCGTTTCCGGAGGAGGAGGAGGAGGAGGAACCTCATCCTCACCCTCGCCAACAGGCGCACGCACCTTCTTCTATATACAGAAACTCCCGATCAACCGCAGAGCGGCCGGCTAGTTAACAGCGACAGGAGTTGGGGGTGATTTTTCTCGAACGTCCTCGGGATTGTTGGAAGGTTTCGGAAGCTCTCTGGCCTCCGGGAATCCCTCCAGGGGCCTCCGGAGGCCTCGGGGGGCCTGGACCTCCGAGGAAGTCCAGACACACCTCCTCGGGCACAGCGGCATGCATGGCGGGAGCAAGCCTTCCTGCGCGCGCAGTGCAGGTGGCTCGTCGTCGTCGTCCTCACCCTCCTTTTCCTCCTCTTCCTCCTCCTCCTCCTCCTCCTCCTCCTCCTCCTCCTCTTCCCTGGCGGTCTCCAGGGCGTCCGAAAGGTCCCAGAGGGCTTCCTAGGCGGCCGAAACAGGCCACCAATGCCGTGAAGATGGCTCAAGACGCCTGGGTGCCTCAGAAACAACGCAATAAGACCCCAAGACCGTACCGAATGGCTTCTATACGGCTCACTGGGCCACCCAGTCGGCCCAAGAGGGCCCAACGAGGACTCATTGCATGCGCTCTTATATGCTAACACTTCAAGCTTGTGCCTCCATGTTTCTGTGCGTGTCACACAGGCGCCACGTGCCCGATACAAAACAACTCGCTTGTTCCGGCGCGATGAGGGGCGCGCGCGCGAGCCTGCGCCGCAGCGGCTCTCCGATGTTCGCTCGAACGCTCGAAGGTTCTCCGATCGCCCCCGCAGAGGGCGCAACGCCCCGTGGTGGGCAATCGCGCTGATGCCGTGCTGGCATTCGCGCGCGTCCCCGTCTAAACTTTTCAATTTTTCTAACAACAGACGGGGCAGCGTGCCTGCGCCGATAGAAACATATGTCCGGCGTGCTTGCGCCCGTGCCTATGGCATGGCGACGCCTGCACCACAGTAACGGAAGTGCCGGAAATGCCTGCACTCAACCATGGGCGGCGCCTGCGCTGATAGAAACAAATGCCCGCGAGGCCTGCGCTATGATCGCGATAGCGAGGATCCAAAATTTGACACGCCCGCGGTGCCTGCGTCCGGCCAAGCGCAGCGCTCGAGCGGATAAACCGACTGCAACCGCGGCGCATGCGCAGACGACCCGATGGCGAGGCGAGGCCTGCACCCTATTATTTGCCGCCCCCTCGGTGCCTGCGCCGAGTCACGCGCAGCGCCTGAGCTGATAAAGCGCGTTCTCGGCTCGACGTCGCTGGTCTTGCGCGGAGCGGGCGGCAGCCGCACGGGCGCGAAAAGCATCGAAGTCAGCGCTCGAGAAGTCGATCTGCGATGGATCGCCTGCACGCCCACCTCGCCTGCCAAGTCGCAAAGCCCAGACTTGGCGCTCCGCTTCCTGTGGCTGACGTGGGTTGAGCCAGCATGGCCACGGATGGCATCGCCGTGGATGCGGCGATGACGGCGACGGCGGTGACCGCGACGGCGACGAGGCAACACTCGCGGCCGCGATTGCGCCCCGGCGCGCAGGTCGACTCTCCGTAGGGCGCCCTATCTTCGTCTGCGGGATAAGATGTATGGAGAACGTCTGTACCACCATGTTTTACTCAGGCGTTCCATGTGTTTCCCAGTTGTCAACTTTTAATCTTTCGCAAACCAACACGGCTCCACAGGCCAACAAGGTGGCCTCAAAGGACAGCCCCAAAAGGCCCAACAGCCCTCCACGACGGCCCAAGGATGGTACCTGGAGGCCCGAAGACTTCACAATGTATCTCAAGACGGCCGTAAAGGGCCCCAAGCAGGCTCCAAAGACGAACCGCAGAGGCCCCAAGACACACTCCGAAGGCGACAGCTGGCCCAAGAGCGCCCTAAGATGTCCCAGGGAGACCCCGAGAGGCCCGGAGAGCCAAGATGCCCAAGGCCCTCGAGAGGCCCGAAAGTAGCCTCCTAGAGACCACCTAGGAGGATCCTAGAGAGGAGGTGGGCAGAAACATAAAGCAGAAAAAAACGACTAAAACGGACAAAAACACACCGAAACGACACGGAACGGCGTGTCGCATATAGCGTCCTTGACATGGCTACGGACGAACACGTTCTCCTCCTTCTCCTCCTCCTCCTCACCCATCTGGGGCCGCAGAGAGCCACATGTGAGGGCCGTGCTTGTCTTCTCTCCTTCTCCTCCTTGTGATTCGCGTTGCTGTGATGCAGCCTCCACGTCGTCGTGCTGCTCGTCCTCGCATCTCCTGGAGACGACACTTGGCACTTGTGGCGAACTGCCGTATCCTTCTACTCCTCGCCCACATCTTCCTCATCCGCCCTCTCCTCCTCATTCTCATGCTAGATGCGGGAAGTGTCACGTGTGACGCCCGTCTCGGCGGTTCTCGAACGGCCGCCATGAAGAGTATTGCACTGGCACGCTGGCGGGACTGGCCGCAGGCAGCTGGATACTCATTGACCTCTTCCGCCCCCTTGCCACCATCATCCTAATCAACAGCTCCCTCTTCTTCCCTCCATCCTCCTCTTCCCCTCTTCCGAATGCCTCTCTCCTTTTCCTCCTCACTCTCTTCAACACAATCCGATGCCGTCTCTGGAACTGAGCACTAGATTCGCAATGCAAGTTAATATGCTGTGCTGTCCCGGGTTGCTGCTACGAATTCCGAGACTTCTGCTCTGCCTCCTCAACCCGCCGTCCGTCTCCTCCTCGTCCTGATGGTCATCCTCATCCACCTGTCCCTCCTGCGTCTCCCCTCCTCACCTTACCTCGCTTTCCCGTAATCCTGGTTTCTACTCCACATCGTCATCACTCTCTGGAGTACCGTCTTCATCCGATGCCTCCCCTCCACCTCCAAATCCACCTCTTGCTCCTTCCGCTCGTTGCATATCCCATACTTCTCGTCCCTCATACATTATGATGATCCATCCCCTCGTCATCAATATATATGTATATAGATACATACATATATATATATATGTTTAAATAGAAAAAATCACCCTCTGCCTCCTCCTCAGCCTCCTCTTAGCGGGCGCAAAACGGCAGAACCCGAATTTCACCACGGCCGGGGACGCCTATACCAGGGCGACCCGAAAGTTCATACCCGACCCTGCCCTCGCAGCTGGGGGTATAGTTCTCAGCCACCCTAGTGCACAAGCCCCCGATCGCGGAAACATTGGTCTTACATAATTATTCGCCCGCTAATCCTCGTCCGCCCCCCCCCGTCCATTATACACGACGGCATGCTGCTTATTCTCATGTCGCCCCCCCCCCCCCGCGTCCACTCAGACCCCCTCTTACTGCTCGTCGTCCTCCTCCTCCTCATCATCGTCTTCATCAGCATCATCATAAAACTGCTCCTCCAACTCCTTCTCCTCGATCCCTCCTCCTCCGCCGCCGTCTCCTCCTCCTCCTCCCCGCCCCCCTCCTCGTCTTCCTCGGGTTAGAAAGCATCTAACCTCTACCACTCCTCATCGCTCGTCCTCCTCCTCCCCCCTCCTTCTCCGTCCTTCTCCGCCAACTCTCCGTTGACCAGGCCTCGCAGTGCCCTATTCAATCCAACGCGTCTCAAGTAGATGCAGCGCCTCAAGGAAAGGCAACTGCCCCAGGATTTGCCGACCAACCGATGATGCCCCCTGGCACTTCTGGTCCAGCGCTGTCATCAAGCTTCGTATCGCACCGCGATGGAAACTCCCTCCTCCAGTCGGCCCAGTATCCCCAGAGCCTCCTTCGTATCCCTCCCCCCAGAGCCTCCGCAAAACCCCCTCCCCAGAACCCCTCCCCCGAGCCTCCTCCGTCTCCCTTGAGGGACAGCAATAAGGAGGAACTGGCTCAAGGGAGGAAGCATCGACCTGGAAATCCTCGACACAGCGCCGATAGATCGGCCATAGGTCCCTCTTGGGGCAGGGTGGACTATCGGGCCCCTGATCGGCGATGCGATTGGGGGTCGATGCATGCCCCCCTGAGCCACGGTCAGGAACTGTTGCTCAGCGTATCGCGGCGGCGGCCCCGGCGACACGCAACGCCATTGAGAGCGGATCGCATGTCGCTCCGTTCCGCGTGGCGGCAGGCTCGGAAAGGCTCGGGAGGTTGAAGCCTGGGGGCCCGAAAGTGGGCAACGTATCGCGCCGGAGTGCGGTGGGCCGGAACCGGCGGACTATCCTAAAGTTCCCGACGGCATAAAACCCCTAACGTTGCCCCTGATCCGTCACCCCCTCCCCCGATCCTTAGGTGAGCCTTTTTGGAAGCTCGTTCAAACATATACCGCCTCGAATTACAAGCATTTAGTGGCCTGTTTGCGGCCTTGGTTGTATGATTAGCGGCCTTTAGTGGCCTTGAGATGCCTTGTAGCAACCTTTAGTTGCCTTTAGCGGCCTGTTGCTGCCTTTAGCGATCTTCAGCGGCCTGTACTAGCATGCACAATATGCAACAGAGTGCATCATGCATTTGAACATGAGCTTCCACAACGACGCATTTAACGAGCCCCTTCCCTCCCGCTGCCCCGGCGGAGCCGCCGTCCACCGAGCGCCGCGCAGAGTGGGATGCGCCAGCGAGCCGACGCTCGCCACAGCGGGGTCCAGCGCCTAGGTGCGGGGGGCCCTGGAAGATCCGCCGCTGGGGGAGCGAGTAGATCCGAAGCTCCGAATTACGCTGCCGAGGAACCCCACATACTTATATTATGGCTGGAGTGATGATAGCTGAAGTGAAGCATGTAAGAATGATGTTGGTGGCCGTTGCCACCCCCTGCGCACCCCCTATTTTGTCCAGAAGGTGCCACGCCTGCTATGCCCTGGACGACCGTCGTGCATAGCGGCCGCGGTGAGGGACCACCCCCTGCGCACCCCCTATGGTGTCGAGAAACTGCCACGCCTGCTATGCCCTGGACGACCGTCGTGCATAGCGGCCGCGGTGAGGGACCAACCCCTGCGCACCCCCTATGGTGTCGAGAAAGTGCCACACCTGCTATGCCCTGGACGACCGTCTCGAATAGCGGCCGCGCTCGGGGACCACCCCCTGCGCACCCCCTATGGAATCGAGAAAGTGCCACGCCTACTATGCCCTGGACGACCGTCTCGGATAGCGGCCGCGCTCAGGGACCACCCCCTGCGCACCCCCTATGGTGTCGAGAAAGTGCCACGCCTGGGATACCACCCCCTGCGCACCCCCTACGACCTGTCTCGGATAGCGGCCGCGCTCAGGGACCACCCCCTGCGCACCCCCTAAGTGTCGAGAAAGTGCCACGCCTGCTCTGCCCTGGACGACCGGCGCGGATAGGGGGACCACCCCGTGCGCACCCCCTATGGTATCGAGAAACTGCCACGCCTGCTACGGCCTGGACGACCGGCGCGGATAGGGGGACCACCCCCTGCGCACCCCCTATGGTGTCGAGAAACTGCCACGCCTGCTACGGCCTGGACGACCGGCGCGGATAGGGGGACCACCCCCTGCGCACCCCCTATGGTGTCGAGAAACTGCCACGCCTGCTACGGCCTGGACGACCGGCGCGGGCTCGAAAACCACGCCCCCCCTGGCCTGGACGACCGGCGCGGATAGGGGGACCATGCGATGGTCGAGAAACTGCCACGCCTGCTACGGCCTGGACGACCGGCGCGGATAGGGGGACCACCCCCTGCGCACCCCCTATGGTGTCGAGAAACTGCCACGCCTGCTACGGCCTGGACGACCGGCGCGGATAGGGGGACCACCCCCTGCGCACCCACTATGGCGTCGAGAAACTGCCACGCCTGCTACGGCCTGGACGACCGGCGCGGAAAGGGGGACCACCCCCTGCGCACCCCCTATGGTGTCGAGAAACTGCCACGCCTGCTACGGCCTGGACGACCGGCGCGGATAGGGGGACCACCCCGTGCGCACCCCCTATGGTGTCGAGAAACTGCCACGCCTGCTACGGCCTGGACGACCGGCGCGGATAGGGGGACCACCCCCTGCGCACCCCCTATGGTGTCGAGAAACTGCCACGCCTGCTACGGCCTGGACGACCGGCGCGGATAGGGGGACCACCCCTGCGCACCCCCTATGGTGTCGAGAAACTGCCACGCCTGCTACGGCCTGGACGACCGGCGCGGATAGGGGGACCACCCCGTGCGCACCCACTATGGCGTCGAGAAACTGCCACGCCTGCTACGGCCTGGACGACCGGCGCGGATAGGGGGACCACCCCCTGCGCACCCCTACGGCGTCGAGAAACTGCCACGCCTGCTACGGCCTGGACGACCGGCGCGGATAGGGGGACCACCCCCTGCGCACCCCCTATGGTGTCGAGAAACTGCCACGCCTGCTACGGCCTGGACGACCGGCGCGGATAGGGGGACCACCCCGTGCGCACCCACTACGGCGTCGAGAAACTGCCACGCCTGCTACGGCCTGGACGACCGGCGCGGATAGGGGGACCACCCCCTGCGCACCCCCTATGGTGTCGAGAAAGTGCCACGCCTGCTACGGCCTGGACGACCGGCGCGGATAGGGGGACCACCCCCTGCGCACCCCCTATGGTGTCGAGAAACTGCCACGCCTGCTACGGCCTGGACGACCGGCGCGGATAGGGGGACCACCCCGTGCGCACCCACTATGGCGTCGAGAAACTGCCACGCCTGCTACGGCCTGGACGACCGGCGCGGATAGGGGGACCACCCCCTGCGCACCCCCTATGGTATCGAGAAAGTGCCACGCCTGCTACGGCCTGGACGACCGAGCTGAGCTGTGCTGTGCTGAGCTGAGCTGAGCTGTGCTGAGCTGTGCTGAGCTGTGCTGAGCTGTGCTGAGCAGTGCTGTGCTGTGCTGTGCTGTACTGTGCTGTGCTGTGCTGTGCTGAGCTGTGCTGTGCTGTGCTGAGCTGAGCTGAGCCGAGCTGTGCTGAGCTATGCTGAGCAGTGCTGTGCTGTGCTGTGCTGTGCTGAGCTGAGCTGTGCTGAGCTGTGCTGTGCTGTGCTGAGCTGTGCTGAGCTATGCTGAGCAGTGCTGTGCTGTGCTGTGCTGTGCTGTGCAAGAAGGAGAAGGGGAGGGGGGAGGTGTGAGACGCGGGTGCGGCGCGGCAGGGAAGAAAACCAGAACCCCACGAAACATGTGGGGAAACACTCGGAACAGGCGTTCTTGGGCCGCTTCAGGCATCCGGAGGCCCTCGCTGGGCATCGGGAGAGTCAGCAAACCGACTCAGGACGAAAAAAAACAGCCCTGAGGAAATGGTCAGGACCTTCGGGGCTTACTAGGGGGAAAACAAACCTACCTCGCTTTTGACCACCCTCGCTTCCAAGAGATACCAAACGATGCCAAACTACGGCCTGTACTGGTCAGGCCGCTTGACGAGGAGGCGCGTGGTATGACTTGGTTTTGCCTGGAAGCGAAAGCGGGGTAGGCAATTCGCGCTCTGACTTACGCAAAGAAAAATTGGAGCTGCCGGACGTCTGAGGAGATGCGAGGGAGGACGGGAGGAGGACATGCGAGGGAGGCGGAGCGCGGAAGGGAGGAAGGGAGCCAGGGAGGGAAGGAGGCAGGGAGGGAGGGAGGGAGGAGGAGGAGGAGGAGGGAAGAGAAAGAGGAGGGAGGAGGAGGAGGAGGATGAGGCAGAACGGAGGGGAATGAGGAGGAGTGGAGAAGGCGGGAGGAAGAGGAGAGGAGGAGCGAGGGAGGGAGGGAGGGAGGGCGGTTGGAGTGTCTGAGGGGGGGGAGGGAGGGAGGGAGGGAGGGAGGGAGGGAGGGAGGGAGGGAGGGAGGGGAGGGAGGAGGGAGGAGGAGGAGGAGGAGGAGGAGATGCGAGGGAGGCGGAGGAGGGAGGAGGAGGAGGACGAGGAGGAGGATGAGGGAGGACGGATGGGAATGAGGAGGAGCGGAGGAGGCGGGAGGAAGAGGGGATGAGGACTGCATGCTTAGACTGCGTGTTGCAGGGGGGGGGCGGAGGAGCAGAGGGGAGGATGGCGGACCACCGTCCTCGGCCACGAAGAGCAGCTCGTAGCCGCGGGAGCTCGGCTGGCGGGTTGGGAGGCGGCGGCGCGGCGTCTCGCGCCCGGGCTTCAGAGAGGGCCGCGCCGCCCCAAAGTCGACCGAGGCTGGGAAGTTTCCGAGCTGAGCCGAGCCGGCCGTCCAGGCGCCCTTCGCCGTCGCAGTTCAGACTCATGCTCCTCTTTCTCCTCATGCTCCCCTCTCCTCCTCCATCTTCCTCCTCCTCCTCCTTCATCCCCTCCTCCTTCATCCCCATTGCCAGTCGCAATTTCACGTAAGTGTGGCTCTGGCCTGCGCGCCGCGCACATGATTCTTGAATGTTCGATGCAACTTCACGGATGGAGGGGGGCCGCTTCGAAAACGTGCCGTTCGCCACTGCGCCAGGAGCATTCGCTTTCTTGTGCTGAACGATTGAGGGAGGAGGGAGGAGGGAGGAGGGAGGAGGGAGGAGGGAGGAGGGAGGAGGGAGGAGGGAGGAGGGAGGAGGGAGGAGGGAGGAGGGAGGAGGGAGGAGGGAGGAGGGACGTTTTACGGATGGAGGGGGACGTGTGCCAAATGTGGCTCTCGCGTGCGCGCCGCGCGCCTTCTCCCTAGCAGGGTGGCGCCAGCTTCATGGCTGGAGGGCGGCTCCTGTCTTCAAACTGAAGGATTGCAAAACAACCTTTTTGCAATCCTTCGATGAAGGGTTTTTTTGCAATCCTTTTTGCAATCCTGGGTTTTTTTGCAATCCTTGGTTTTTTTGCAATCCTTCGCTCTCGCCCCATCGCCGCGCGCAGTCGTCTTGAGATAGGCAGAGGCTTCGCGGGCGGAGCGGGGCCGATGTCATGCGGTGGCTCTCGCCTCAGCGCTACGGGGGCATTCGTCGTCAACGTTCGCGGCAGCTTCGAAGCATGGAGGGCGGCTGCTAAATGTGGCTCTCGCCGGAGCGCCGCGCAGATTCGCCAAAGTTGGCAGCGACTTCGAGACTGGACAGCGGTGCCTTTTCAAAGCGTGGCTCTAGCCTTAGCGCCGCACACATTCGCATGACAATTGGGAGCAACTTCCAAGATGGAGGTCGGTCCAGGGTCGCTTTCAAAGAGTGGCTCTCGCCTTAGGACTGCTCAGATTCGTCTCGGAAGTCTGCAAAACATTCATCGATTGACAAGGGGGGGGGCCTTGTCAAGATGTGGCTCTCGCCAAAACGCCGCGCGAATTCGACTTAACCGTTTGGGTCGGCTGTACGAAGAGAAGGAAGTTGCTTTTCAATGTGAGTCTCTGGCATTAGCACCGCAGTCATGCACCTCAAAACCTCGCAACATGTTCAATATTTAAACACCAAACGTGTTCCAACTGGCACCCTCGTCACAGCGCCGCGCGCAGCCGTTTTTTTGTTGGATGCAGCGGTTAGCAGGATGGTGGGCTGTGTTGTTTAAAGTGGCGTTCTCGCCAGTGTGCTGGTGTTGTAATGGGGCGCCCCTTGTAGTGAAAAGGATGGCTTGGATGGGCGTGTCAGGAGGAGACTTGGGACGGGAGGGTGTGTTGCAACATCGCTTATGCATAGCATAGTTGGTTCAATATGATCCTCCTTATTCTCCTCTTCCTCCCCTCTGGAAGCGAGTGCGAACGATTGGCCCGGGTTTGTCGGGGGGGGCTCAGGGCTCAGGAGAGGGAGAGAAAGAGAAAGAGAGAGAGAGAGAAGGAGGGAGAAACAACTACAGAGAGAGGGAGAGAGAGAGAGTGAGAGAACAACACCAAACATAAGTAGAGATAGAGAGAGAGAGAGAGACGAACAAAACAAGAGAGAGCGAAAGACACACGAGAGATCGAGAGAGAGGGAGAGAGACAGAGACAGAGAACGAAAGAGAAGGATGTACTGCAATCCCAAATCTCCCCTCTTCCCCCTCTTCGCAGCTCCTCGCCCCCTCCCTTGTCCGAACTGAGTGTTTTTGCCGCTGACCGACGAGGACCTCCTCTCATTCTCCGCCCATCCTCTCTCCAAGCCCATTCCACCATCCTCGCTCATTCGTCCTCCTGTATCCTTCCCACCAACCTCCTTATTGACCAACTCCTCCTGCTCCTCCTGCTCCTTCTCCTCCTCCTCCTCCTCCTTCTCCTCCTCCTCCTCCTGCTCCTCCCCTTCCGCTCCCCCTCACCCGCCCCCGCCCCAGTATCATACTCATCATCACCATCATCATCAGCATCACCGTAATTAACACCATCACCATCCTCGTCCTCCTTCTCATCATCATCATCATCATCATCATCATCATCATCATCATCATCATCAGCAGCAGCAGCATCATCATCACCATCACATCCATCACAACTATCACCACCACCACATGACCATCACCACCCTCATCGTCGCCATCTGACTACCACGGTCACATCACCATACTCATCATCAACATCATCACCATCATGGTCATCATGGTCATCATCATCATCATCATCATCATCATCATCATCATCATCATCATCATCATCATCCGCCGCATCACCATCAGCATCATCATCATCACCACCATCGATAGCAACACCACCATCACAATCACCAGCATGATCTCCCTCAGCTGCCGCAGCATCACCATCACCACCATCACCATCGCCACCACCATCACCATCATCAACATCCTGATCAGGAGCAGCAACAGCATGACCATAAACATCGCCATCGCCAGCATCGTCACCAGCACCACCATCATCACCATCACCATCAGCATCCTCCCCCGCACCATCATCATCATCATCATCATCATCATCAGCATCATCATCACCGGCAGCATCGTCAGTGGCACTATGATCATCAACATCATGATGAGCAGCGTAAATATCATCAGCATCGACATCACCACCATCACCGTCACCACCATCATCATCATCATCATCATCATCATCATCATCATCATCATGATCGCGATCAGCAACAGCATCCTCATCACAAGCAGCATCAGCTCCTCGAAGTCACCATCAACATCATCCTACGCATGAGCACAATGACCGTCGTCATCATCATCATCATCATCATCACCATCATCATCTTCATCATCATCAGCATCATCTTCAGAAGCACCATCATCACCATCACGATCCTCATCAGCATTTACTTCAACATCAAGCAGGATGGTTCCCAGGCGGCGCTCGGCAGAACGAGAGACAGAGAGAAGGACGAGCGACACAGACACACACAGCACAACACACACGCGCGAACAGGGAGCAGAGAGAAAAGACCCCCAAGAAAGGGAGGTAGCGGGCGGGCAAAGAAAAAAGGCTTGAGCCGTGGCGCTTGCAGGCTCAGCGCTCACAAGCACGCGGCCCCTCATTCGCTCTACGATTAAAGATCAAGAACCACCGATCGCGACGCTCATCCCAGGCCATGAGACCCGTTTTGTGTGTCTCGGGCCAGGCGGGTCCGACGAACAGGATGGTTCCCGAGCGGCGCTCTGCAGAACGAGAGAAAGAGGGACCAACGACACAGACACACACACACACACACACACAGCACAACACACACACACACACACACGCGCGCGAACGGGGAGGAGAGAGCGAAACCCCCTAAGCACCCCGAGCGGGCGTCTGGCATGAACCGCCTTGGTTATAAACAAATGATGTGCTAAGTCTGCACAGCCCGTGTGCATCGATACTACGTTCCAGGACTCGGGCAAAACAAAAACAAAACCGAGGAGGATCAGGCTCAGCAGCGCGAGTCCAGAGTCTGCCCGAGCTCTGATACTTTCCCGCCATGACATGTGGGGCTTCATGGAATGACTGCAGACCCCCCCCCCGCGACAAAGAGTGAGCAGCTGCGCGGAGAAGCTGGGGGGCTCAACGTGAACCCTGGTCCTTTTAAGCCATCAGGCCCCGAAACCGTAGTAGCCCACTGCGCAGGCCTGGCTAGAAGAGTGACGGGCCAAGCACTCGAAAGTATGGACCTTCCACAAACAGCTGGACCCTGGGTTCTCGTACGGACTCGGAGGCAGCCCCGGGTCACCCGCAAACGCAACCGTACCTGGGCGTCGCCGCGCTTGCAGGCCGCGGATGTCCTCGGGTCCAGGTTAGGGAGGCCCCAAGCATGCTATGAGCTACGCTGGCGGCACCAGCTGGAACCAGGGGGGCCGCGGCGGGCTTGGGGCCAGGTGCACCGCGGGGTCCCCGTCCACACAGCACAAACGACATTACTTGGAATCCACCCTGAGATCGTGCTGTGAACAACTTGGCGGTCTGGATCAAACCAGGGCTGTCTCAAGAAGTCAACCGAAATCGCGGCAAAACCACGGGCCCTCGGCCCTCGAAACTCCGGCTGCGCCGGCGTGAAGCTCCAAGAAAACCTGCGCGCGTCAGACAGTTGCTGTCCTCGGAGCGGCGGCGCAGCAGGCAGGCGGCGCAGCGGGCGACGGCGCCTCGCGGTCGCTCAGGCGCGGAAAGGGGCCAGGAGGGGCCCTGCTGGCAGCGGCGCGCTGGCCTCGAAAATGCTGGCGACCCGCTGCTGCATCTGACTGCGCCGAAGTCTACCACGACCTTCGAGGTTTTGTATAGGGCCGCCAGCGCCCGCGCCGCCCTGCCGTAGCGCTTCAGCATGGTGCCGATTTGCCATCTGCCGCCGGCCTTCACCTCCAGCGGGCTCCGCCTCTTGTCCAGAGAATCGTGGGGGGTGCCGCCGTGCCTGAGGCCGTGCGCGGTGATGCCCATGGCAGACAAGCCCAGCGTCTCGGCGGCCTCCTGGGTCCTGAGCGTGGCGTCGCCCAATGGGAAGCTCCAGAGTCACTGGTCGGGGGCGCTGCAACGCTGCTTCAGCATCAGCAGGCGCGCCCGCGAGAAGCCGAGGTCGTCGAGCAACCCCGCCGTGACCGCGAAGAGCAGCTTGTCCAAGCGCGAAACCAGCACGTCGTCGAGGCCGCTCGCGCTCGCCCACCCGAGGCCCGACTCGAACGCCCACTTTATGGCCGCTTCCATATTCTTGAAGTGGTCCCTCTGCGTGGCCTCAGCCACCGAACGGCTCGCGAGGTTGGCGAGACCGGGCGAGTCCAGGAGGAGCCCTGAAATCTGCAATGATCCCCGGCACCCGGTGCATCGCGCCGCCGACGCCACGGCAGAAGACGCGGCCAGCCCGACCAGCCAGCCCCCCTTGGGCGCCACCAAGGTTCGCGTCTGCCACGGGCCCGAGCGCGCGGAGGGCTGCGAACCCCAGGACGGTGGGAAGAGGTTGAAGAGGATCAGCAGCAAGACGGCCAGCGCAGTCCTCGGCGACCGCGTCGGGCTCCGCCTGCCGCTCGATGCAGCGCATGCCTCTGGGCGGGTTGTCCGCCGGAGTCCCCTCGGACGGGGCCCGGCAAACGCTCGCTTGCAGACAGCGACCCAGAGCCAAGGCGGCGATCTCGCGCAGGTGGCCCGAAATCGGAAGGCCGCGGGGCGACCCTTGCCCACTGCTAACGCCAGCCCCATGTCGTCGACGAGGGCGCGCACTCATTGACCGAAGGCTCGCTGACCCCGAAGAGCGCGACGAAGGGTGTTCGGAAGCGCGAGCTCCTCGCGACGAATAATGTTCGCCAGGCACCGCCACGGACTGGACTTCGCGACGTGCCAAGCCCCTGGGTCGGCGAAGTCAGCGCCGATCATGTCGCGGGACTTCGTGAGCTCGTCGGCCCGCGGGCTGTCTGGCAGGTCGTCGGCCGCAACGACGCCGGCGACCTCTGCGTTGAAGGCGCGGCTCCTGGCCACCGCAACTCACCGCTCGCAGCGCCGCTTCTCGGCGGCGCGGCCCCGGCGCCCGACCAGCTCAGGGTCGGCCTGGCGGGCGCGGACCCCGCGGCCCCAAGGGGGGGCGTCACTGGGCGCCCGCGCGGGCGACGCAGAGCGGGGGAATGTCGCGGGCCAACTTCAGCCCCCGCGCCGCCGAGCCCAGCAGCGGGGCGCCCTGCTGCTGGCGGGCCTTCACGAAGGCGCGCGCCGAGCTCAAGAGGGTCGCGCTGCAGCAGCGCGAGCCACGCGGCGCGCCCCAGGACCGCCTCCAGCACGCCCCCGGCGCCCGCGCCTAAGGAGCTCCTTGTTCGCCAAGCGGAGCCGCCACATGCTGCGCGTAGACGCACGCGCCGCGCGAGCTCGACCATCGACCGTCGAAGGAGAGGCCCGCGATGTCGGCGCGGTCGACGGCCTCGGCGGCGCCCTCGTGCACCGAGAAGCCCCGGCTCCCCAGGCTGGCGGCGACAAGCCGGGCCGCGGCGGCCACGCGGCCCCGCGGGGCGCCCCGGGCCATGAAGTTGTCGACGTAGCTGGCCGCCCCCAAACGTCGAGAGGGCCCAGGTGGCTGGGGGGCTGCGCGGTCCTTGGCCAGGAAGTCGGCGCTGAGCCCGCCGCGCGAGAGGCCCTCCTGGGTGACCAGCTGGCAGGGGCGCAAGGCCCAGCCCTAGCCCATCGGCAGCGCCGTCATGATGGGCGCCAGGGAGGCCGCGGCTGCAGGCCTCGCGTCGCCCACCATCGGTCGTCCCACAGGCCCTGTGCGCACGGGCGACAGGCGGGGGTGGGCCCCGAGCTCGGGTGCGACTGCGATGGCGTAGCAGGCGTTCTGCACGTCGCCCACTTGATGAGCGCCATGCCACATCGCACCCGCTGGTCTCCATCCTCGAGAAGGCCGAGGCGGACGGCAGGCGCGTCGACGGCGGCGGCTCGAAAACGCAATCGTAGAACCGCGCGCCGAAGATGGCCCAGTGATGTTCTGACTTCTTCTTGACGAAGAAGAGCCCGACTGTTGCCTCAACCTGAGTGGGCGCGAGGCGAACCATTCCGCGGCCCAGCGCCCCGTGAACGAGAAATCGGCGCAGATCACGCGCTGGCGGCGGAAGGCTGGGTCCACGCGACGCTGGCGGAGGCCGGGCTCCGACCGAAGAGCCGCCGATGCAGCCGGAAATCGTCGCATCTCGGCCGTCGGGCCCCTCGACCGGGAGGTGCGCTCGACCGAGAGAGCGCTGGCCAGATCGACCGGGGCGACCACCGCGGCCGGCCAAGACACGAGGTCCTCGTCGCAGAGCACGGCGGCGGTGGAAGTCTCGCCGCGCGTCACGGCGGAACCGCAGAACTCGAGGAGGAAAAGCAGGAGCGAGGATCAGCGGGGCAGGCCTCGACCGCCAAGTAGCCGCGCCCCAGGTGGCACAGGCTCAGCTGCTGCGCCACGGAGGGCGGCGCCACTGGCGCATCGCCGCGACCAGAGAGGTGGTTGAGAGACGACATGCCGCCGCAGGCCCACTCCAGAGCACGGCGACGGCGGAGCCCGTGGCGAACGACAGCACGACGGCAGCCGTCTCCGCGATCGGGAAGGGGGGGGGCAGGGAGAGGGAAGACGTCGCGCTGGCGGCTCATCCCGCCGCGGCCGCAACGAGCGGACCCTGCCAGCCCGGCGCTGAGGAGCAGCAGGCAGCCGAAACTGTGGCGGAGCGGCGGCAGGCCACTCGCCCTCCTTGCCGCCCCTGGCCCCGGTCTTCGGACGGGCCAGCGAGCGATCCTCTCTTGCCTTTCTCACTTCCTCGGCAATGGCGCTCTCGCGGGCGATGTGCTCGCTGATCCAGGTGCTGAGCTCTGGCGGCGCCATGGGCGCGCGCGCGGTCGCCATGCCAGCGAAGTTGCAGTGCTGGTCGCGATGGCTCTCGATGCCGACCTCGGCGCCCAAGCTCATGTCGCGGCGGCGCCCCTCGCGAAGCTGTAGCTGACGGGCAACCGGCTGCAGCGCCCCGGGCTGGAGTTGGTGGCCCGTCTCGAAGACCCTTGCTGAACTCCAAGTGAGTGGAGACCGTGATGTCCTCCAGCGAGAGCATGATGTTATATCTCCACTGGACATGATGACCCAGAGAGCTGCCGCCGTTCTACAGCACAGCATGAACTGAGCCACCCGCGCCACCGCCCTTGGTCCAGAGACTGGCCAGTCCGCCCACTGCGCGGGGCCGAGGAGCTTGACCGCGTCCTCGAACGACCTGTGGCGCTGACCGCGCGTGTCGCAGAGGACCGCAAGCGCCCTGCAGTCGGCCCCGTCAGCCCCGGCACCGAGCGGAGGCCCGGGCGCGGCTGCGCCACCGCCGGCGCCTGCGAGGGCAGCGGCGAACCCGGCGCGTCCTGCCGCTGTCGCGGGAGGGCCCGCGCATGCCGCCGCTTCCCCAGCGCCAGCAGCTGCTGCGGGCGGGCCAGCCCCGGCAGCAAGGGCCGCGCCCGCGCCCGCCAGCGCGCCGCCAGCCGAGGCTGGGCCTGCGCCTCCGCCTGGGCCAGGCGCTGCCCCAGCCCCTGCAACCCCCGGCGCCGCCGACCACCACCGCGCCGCCGTCGCCGACGAGGGCGGCGAGGCCGCTGCCAGGGCCGCCGCCGACTCCGAGCCCGCCATCTCCAGCCCCACCAGCGGGTGTCCGCCGCCGCGACGGGCGCGGGAGCGAGCGCGCGTCCTCCCGCCGGTAGGGCCGCGGCTCCGCCTCCGCCTGCCGCGAGCTGAAGATCGTGCGCCGCGACGAGACTGTCGGCCTCCGCGACGAAACCGAAGAACTCCTGGGCCGAAAACCCAGCTGAAAGTCGTAGATCGGCAGGCCAGCTGCCGCCGCGGGGGCGACTCTGCCTGGGCCACATCGATGCCATAATTACAGCGATGTCCGAATTGTCAGGCGTTAAGTGCTCAATGAAAACGCTGTGGTCGCGAGACACCACCGCCGCGTGGAGCGGCTGCACGGTGCTGGCCCGGACCACCACGCGGCGGCGAAACAGAACAGGCCCAGGTACATCATACGCAACCAGCACCTCATCGCCCATGCTCATCAGGAGCCAGAACACGACCACGCCCTAGGTACCCGAAGATCTAGGGCGTCCTCCAGCGCTGGCGGCGCTGCCTCCGATCCGAGGCGGCGCCCGACGGCCGGCCAGGAAGCGACCTGTCAGTCGGCACGCCAAACCGCAGGCCGCGGCTACGCAAATGGTAAGCACCTCCCACACCACTAGCGCGAGCAACCCGAAGCCGAACCCACTGCCCCAGGACAGGCGGCCCTCCTCTGGCGCGGGGCATGCCTGGCAGGGGTCAACAACACAACTGTGCCGGATGGGGCGGGCCGGCGCCGACGCGCACTGAGCGAGCTCCGCGCGCAGGTCCACAGCTGGCGCGGCAGGCGGCGGCGCCGCCGGGCAGCCTCGCGCTGGCGAGGCAAAGGCGGGCGCTGGCCTCGGCGCAGCCACGGCCGCCAGCGGAGCCAGCGGCGAGCGAGGGGAAGTCCACCAGCGAGCGCCCCAGCCAGGCCGCGCAGACCTCGGGCCACGGGGCGCATGCGCGGGCCTCGAGCGCGCAGGCCTCCTCCTGAGGCCCTCCACAGAAAAGGCCTGAACCGTGGGAGTTGCAGGCTCGGCACTCACAAGCACACGGCCCTCATTCGCTCTACGATTACAGCTCAAAAACCACCCATCATCGTCACCATCACTATCACCATCACCGCCATCACCACCACCACCACCATCACCACCAACCTCGTCCGCTACCATCTTTCTCTGCGGCGCGAGGCGGGCCCGCGGCTGCGGGCTGGCCCTCGCCGCTGCACGCGGCGTGCGCGGGACCGCGGACGGACGCCGTCGGCCCACTCTCTCTGCAGCGGGCGCGCTCGCAGTCGGCGGATCGCGCAAGCGCTGACGCCTCCCACGAACCCTGAGATCCTTGCGCTGTTTTTTTTCACAAGCGGGGCGCTTTCGAATTGTTTCAGGCTCCAGGACCCTCCCAGATCGATCGGGTCCGAACGATGGGGCAGAAAGATAGGGTCCAGGGCTGTGGTGGTGATTTTTGCAATGATGCAATCAATCAATATTTGTGCAAGATCAGATCTGAAGGGACGAACAACCCACACCCATACCACTCGGGGGCTCGGGCGGAGGGAGCACTGGCAGCAGGTAGTGGTGCGGGCTGTCGGACCACTGGGAGGCTCCCGCTCGAGCGATTGACCCCATCCGACGACACAAATCCACAGCCCCCTCCGTCCCCCCCCATGGGTTAGGAGGCAACTGCTGGGAGGTTTTCGTCGGAAAGACTAAGGAGGATTAAGCCCCATTTGGGAGCTGTTACGCCGGAATGGGCCTCGGATTAAGCGGGATTAAGCTGGATTAAACGGGATTAAGCGGGATTTAGCTGGATTAAACCGAATTTCGGACCACGGCGAAAACAGAATTTGACCTCCCAGGAGTTGCATCTGAACATGGGTATGGGGTGTGTACCGTTCACTCGTCAGCCTTTCCTGGCCGACTTCGGCGGATCGCTGAAAGGGCTCGCGCCTTCTCGTGCCGACTTCAGGAGAGCCGACGCCTGGCGGGGCGGACGGTGCTGGAGCTGCACGCCGCGCCGGACGGCCTGTTGGGCTCGAAGCACCGCTGCCTCGCTGGGCGCTCGCGGCCGATCGGCCCATGCTCGCGCACCGCTGCTGGAAGTCCAGCGACGTCGAGCGGGGCCGCGACGCCGCGGTGCACGGTCCGTTCCACTCCTTGCTGGAGGCTCCGCCGGAGATGCTGCGGCCGATGCCGTCCGTCCCGGGAGCCTGGCACACCGCCCAGGTGGAGCGCCGTCTGGCAGCGCGGGTGGAGCAAACCAACAAGCACGCCGTCGTCGAGGCTTCCGCCGGGAGCCTCGAGAACCGCTCGGTGTTGGCTTTGTTCGTGCCCTCGGCTCTTTCCCTCGTGCCTGGGAGCCCATCGGCGAGAGCAAAGCGGGGCAGAGAGAGGAAAGCTGAATACGCAGTCCCCGAGGCGGTCGACGTAGGGCTCAGGGGAGGAGCCGATGCAGCATCCTGCCGCGGGGCCCGACAGTCCCAACGGCGGACAGCGGGGCGGCGCGCCTGGCCGAGGTCACTCCCGGGGGCCCTACGGGATCGGCCCCAGCCCACGCGAATCGAGCACAGCACCGCCATCCTCCCCGACAGCAGGGCTCTGGGGCTCTCTCGGGATGCTCGGAAACCGACCTCGTCGCCCTATTGTTGCCAGGCCCATCATGGGCATCGGCGCCCCGCCCTGCAACACCAAGATGCAGGAATGCCGGCGGCAATAACACATCACCAACATATCAACCAAGCGCCTCGTTTGAGGGCTGCTTCTGCTCGTGCTCGTGTCGCCGCCAGGAGCGATCCCCTTCCGTGTTCGTGTCGGCGTCGGCTGCAAATTCTATGGCGTCAAGCGCGGCACTTGACGGAAGGGGCGGGGCAGAACGGCGGCAACATGCTCATGACCTTTCTCCTCCGCCATTCTCCCTTCTCCAAGCAATTTCTCACTCCCGCACTATCCCTCTCTCTTCTCCCTCTTCCTTCTCCTCGTCCTCGCCCGTAAGCGTCATCGTGCTCGTCCTGATTGTACAGTGTTATGCTATCTCTCCCTTCGCTTTATCACTCCACTTCTCAATGCCCTCCCAATCTCAACAACATCGCCCTCCGCATCTCGCACGTCCCATCCTCCCCCCTCTTCCCTGTTCTCCCCTCCCTCATCCTCATGCTCCTTTCACCTCCGCGTCCCCATCTTCGCCCAATATCTCCTCCATCCTCCCTGGTCAATCCTTACCATAATTACCCCATGTGTACAGACATACACACACACGTACATGCACATATGTGTATGGCCCTTCTCGTCCTGTTCCTCCCGCAGTTCGATGTTATCCTCATGTTTGTCGTCATTACCCTCAACCCCTTCCCATTGTGTCCAGGTCGCAATCCTTGCTATGTTTCTCATCTCTTCCTCCTCCTTCTCGAGCCTAGCAGCTGGCACATCATGGCCTCCATCACGCAGTGCTGCTGCCCGCTCTAGAGCAGCTCGGGCATTCGACCCTCATCTCGTCCTCATGCTCCCTCGCCTCTGTCTGGCCACTCGGATAGCGTAACGCTCCGCTCCGACGGGAGGGAGGTGGCGAATTGATCGGGACATCGACGCTTGGAACTGGGGACGTCGGTAGCGTGCCGCGCCCAAGCGATGTGAACCAGAGCCGGGGCTGGGGCAGTGAAGGTCTTGGCCTTCTGGCGTTTGGGGCCACCAGGAGCTGTGGGGACCAGACCGCGTGTTGGGTGTTGTTAAACGGGGGGGGGGGCGATGACTGGGAGGGAAGGGAGGTGTATCTTCCAGGCCCTACAAAAGCCCCCCTTTTGGACCCGAAGGGCCCCTGTAGGGTCCCTTTTCGGCTGCCCCCGCTGCCCACCATTTTTCGCCCCCCCCCCCCCCCCCCCCGCCCGTGACGCAACGCTCCCTCCTCCTCCCTCCTCCTCCCTCCTCCTCCTCCTCCTCCCTTCTCCTCCTCCTCCTCCTCCTCCTCCTCCTCCTCCTCCTCCTCCTCCTCCTCACCGCGCGGCTTTGGGGATCGGGTCGAGCTCCGCGGGCGTCTCGGGCGGGGTCGGGCCTCCGAGGTCCTTATAGACCGTGCGGTGACGGACCGCGCGGGGTGAGAGGGCTCTCGGGATTTACGAAAGGGGCCCCAGGACACACAAAGAAATACACACAGATAAAACGACCCCCATTTTCCAATACTTGTTTGGCTTTCGTCTTCCCCCCACTTCCCATGTTTTCCCATATTGTCTAGGGGAATCAGCGATTCATTGTGTCTGTGTGTTTGTTCCCCTCCTGAATTTAGAGATCGCCGCGCGGTCTGGTCAGCCCCGCGGCCTTGGGACCTCCGAGGCGCTGCTCGGGGCGGGTTGGGCCCGTCGCGGGCCCCCAGGGCCGTGGGGAGGAGACTCGGGAGCTTTGATGGGGCCCTGGGGCACACAAGTAACTACACACAAATGACAGGATTCCCCATCTAATCTGATCTTTTCTGGGTTTCTGTCTTCCCCTCCACTTCCCACAGTTTCCCATATTCTCTGGGGCATCGACGATGAATTGTGTCTGTGTGTTTTTTCCCTCCTGAAAGAGATTCGGGAGCACGTGGTGCACGGAGTCAAATAAGCTTGTCAGGGGACAGTGGGGTGACCTGGTCGCCCGGGCGGGGCGGCATGCTGCGTACAGTCGGGCTTGATTGGAGAGGCACGCGAGAGGACACGAGACCTTTTCGAGGGCCACATCGCCACAGGAATGTACGAAGAATGGGTCGCGAGACAAGGGTACCCTTGACCTGGCAGGGTCGACCTAATAATCCGGGCCGCCTGTAGAGGAGAGAGTGACTCGGAGAGAAGAGCTGGCCCTGTGGAGCGCCCCCTGGCAGAGGGCGCGCTTCTCTCTGGATCCTCTGTGGCAGCCCACGGGAACCGCAGGTGCCATCTTGCTGGCTATCGCAAATCGGCGCTAAACGACGCTGGTCTGCGCTACTCGACTCTGCTCGACGCTAAGTCGACCCTGGTCGTCGCTGAACTGGCGCTTTCCAATTGATCACCATACGGTCATGCACGCTAGTGTAATCTGAAGACGGACTTGCGAAGGCAAACCGAACATAACCCTTTTCCTTGATGGCGATGTTTCCGGATTCGACTAGGCAAGTCGGCACTATCACCCTGAGAACCCCAGGGCACAAATTGATCCTCCCAGGGATCGCAACCTGGCCTCCAAGGCCAAAAAGGCTTAGCACCGTGGCCTGGACAGCCCCAGACGCACCCAAGCTCCTCAAGTTTGACAAGGGGTGTGCAAACTATGCCAAAACACGATCAATGATGAACGCGCGCCCCTTTTGCTTTCTAGTCACAGGTGCTTCGGACGTTCGAATATTCGGGGGACCTGGTCGCGTTCGCGCGTGCGTAGGAAGTCTAGACCGAGGCAACCGATCCAGCACGTCGACAAGGGGCCGCATGGTGCGGGATCATCCGCAGGTGACAACCCCATGCAGCGCCTTTCCCGCCCCCCCTATCAGGGGAGCGGTTCGCGAAGAGCGCGGACGAATTGGTGACACTGCGAATGACACCCGTGAAGTTGGGATACAGCAAGCTCCGTCCGTGACGACCTCGGCACACTGGGCCTGTCCTTTGACACCCGTGGGAACTCAATGCACGATCTTCTTTATCGATCCCCCAGAGAGCCGTCGACCTGTTGTTCGCGTGGGCTTCGACCCGAGGCCATCCTGTCCCTCCCCTCCCCGCTCTACTCTGCCTTTCCTCCCTATAGCCTCCTCCTCCTCCTCCTTGTTCTTCCCACCACCCTAACTCTCCCGTTCCCATCCCATCACTCCTCTTCTGACCCCGCTTCTCCTCATCCTCCTCCTCCTCCTCCTCCTCCCTGACTCCTCCCTGACTCCTCCTCCACTTGGCCCAGCGCCACTTGGCCCTCCACCTCAGGAGCAAGAACAAGGGCAGTGGCACTGCGAGGCCTGCCCGCTGAGTTGGCCAGCGTTGGTCCATGGTGCTGCCATCAGTAGCGGCTGCCGCCGCCTCCGTCGTCGTCCGTCGTCGCTGCGGTCGCTCGTGTGTCGTCCTCGTCCTCGCCGTCGCCGATCGTCGGCGCCGTCGCGTCGGTGGCTGCTGCTTTCCTCTCTGCCAGGACCTAGCGCCCTCTCGGGGCGTGCGAGGCGAGCCTGGACTTCTAGAATCCCACTTCCTCCCCCGCCTCGACTCCCCTCCTCCTCCCCCTCTGCTCCCCTCCTCCCCGGGCTAACCCTCCCCCTCCCCCAGGAGGCACGGGCGGCGCGCCACGAACCGCGGGCAGCACTGCGAGGCGTAGCGCGCCACCGGCTCGTCCTCTTGCGCGGCCCGGGCCAGTCGGGAGCCGGCTGCCCTTCTCGAGCCCGCGGGCAGAGCAGCAAGCAACAGCATGAACCTATGCGAGGCGGTGGCATACGTTTAAGCCGTAGCAGGTGGGTCCGGCGCAGATGGGTGCGTGGGGAGAGGTGCACTAGTGCAATCTGCGCGCTGGGGGCACTGGTTGCGCGTGGAACAACTGCTTCTAGCTCTATCCCACACGCAAGAGTGCGCACTCGTGCCAGGAGTCGCGCCCCTGGCACTAGTTGCACACTATTGCGCACAATCGTGCACAATGTATAAACGATTTGCACCTCTCGCCGACGACCGCTCTGCACCAGACTCAACACCAGTCCAGTACTTCTGCTTAGCTTGAAGAGGAGCCAACCACGGATATCGCTATGGGTTATTTGTGGTACCGGTCTTAACCCAGGGTGGGGCACATCAGGGCGGGAGTGCGCTACGATCGCCGTAGCACACGCGCGGCAACCAGCAATTCGGGGCGTCCAGGAGGGGGGGGGCGTCCAACAGGGGTTCGCGTTCGCAAATCATAGCCCGCATGTGCGCGGACGAGGCGGGGACCAACGGATTTCTTGAAAGAAGGAAGGAAGGGCATGAGATCCGCTCCTCCACTCGCCTTCCTCCCCTCGCCATCCTGATTCCTCACATCTACCTCCTCACTACTGGTCCTTTATCTTCTCCTCTGCCCTCCTCCCTGATTAGTACCACTCCTTACTTTCCAAACCAAGACCACCCACATGCACTTAACGCGTCAGGGCGCTCATGCTGAAATGCCATCGCGGAGACTGTCGGCCGCTCCTCGGTTCCGCTCCTCCACTCCAAGCGCCGCTACGACCACGTGTTCAACCAACAACTCCTTATCCTCCTTCGCAACATCATAATATTCCATATCCCTCGCCTCCTTCACCATCTCCTCCTCCTCCTCCTCCTTCTCATCGTCCTCCTCCTCCTACTTCTGCCGTCTTCTTCGAAACCCTGAGAGCCTCATAAAGTCACAGGAATAGGTCTCGATTCCTATCCCTGAAGCCCTCTCCTCGTCCTTCACCTCCTACTGGTCGTCATCCAAGGCCCTCCTGGGGCTCCCGACTCCGCCATAGAGACTGCAGAGTACCTTTGAATCTCGTTCCATATGCGTTCCATTGTCGTGCTTCTTCCTATTCTCCTCGACATCCCCATTTCCATCCTTGGCAACATCGTCGCATTCGTCACGGTCATCGTCACCGACATGGTACATGGCCGTTACCATACTCAGA